CACCTAAAATAAGTCTTAAATTCATATTTTGAATTTTTTCGAGTTTTTCTACTAATTTATGTTCTGAGGCATAACAAAAGAAAGCGTAATCAAAATTACTTCTAACAAGAGATTTGTAAAGTAAAAGGATAATTTTAGGATCAGCTCCCCAGTTACGACCAATTACAGATCTTATTATATTAGTGGCTCTTAAAGCACGATCTACTAAGCAATCAACGTATAGATCCCATTTTAAATTTTGATGAAAAATTACCCCCAGAAATTTAACGCTACAGTCTGTTGGAAGAGTTTGATTATTATATATAATATTCATTAATGGAACATATTTATGAACTTGATGAAAAACAACTACTTTACTTTTGGTTAAACTAATATCGAGGGAAAGAAGAGAAAAATATTTCTCAAGTCTTTTTAATGACTCATTTAACACTAATTGCATATCAATAATATTCTTTCCTTTTATATAAATTAATAAATCATCGGCAAATTGCAAGTTGTTCACACTGTTTCCTAAAACTAAATTAAGTTTATAGATATATAAAATATATACTAAACTACATTACGCATAAATATGGAAACGTGCTCGGCATGTAATAAAAAATTTAAAACTGACGAATCGCTTAAGTGTAATCAGTGTAATGAATCTTTTCATTATAAGTGTTTGAATATGAGTTTGAATGCTTATCAAAATTTGAAATTAAGTAATAAGCCATGGCAATGTTGTGTATGCATCAATATTACTCGGCGAAGAGGGGACAACACGAATACCCCAGTCCGTAAACCAAATACACTTGACGAATCGGTGATGTCATGTGATGTTACTATGAATCAAAGTGAAATGGAATGTTCCGTGTCTGCTGAAAATCATACTATTTCGCTGCAACAATTTGGAGTTTTGTTGGATTCTAGATTGCAAAGGTTTAAAGCTGATTTTTTCTCAGATATTAAGGCTTCCATAAGAAGTGAGATTCACTTGGCTATTACTGCATTAAAGGATGAATTCACAGTCACCGTCGACTTTTTAGAGGAAGGACAAAAAAGAATCAACGGTACCTTGGCGGCTGCAGTTGAGAGAGTTTCTGAGCTGGAATGTAAAAAAAACAAGCTTCAGGGTGACATTTACGAACTTGAACGTCGATTAAAAATTTCTGAAAAAACATCTCGTAGCATGAACATTGAAATACAAGCTGTTCCTGAAAAACGCAGTGAAAATGTTGTTGGTATTTTCAAAAAAATATGTGATGTGATTAATTTCCCTATATCTGATACTGAAATTCATGCATGCCGCCGAGTTGCTAAAATTAATTCCTCTTCAAATCGTCCTCGTAACATACTTGTTACTCTGCCATCTCCTCGTCATCGTGACAATATCTTATCTGCTGTTAGAAAGTTTAATAAGGATAACCCTAAACAAACTTTAAGCACATTCCATCTTGGTTACTCTGGAGAAACAAAGAAAATGTATTTAGTTGAACATTTATCTCCTGAATGTAAGGAACTTCACTCACTAGCCAGAAGATTTGTTAAGGATAAGGCTTATAAATTTGTATGGGTAAAATATGGACAAATATACATTCGAAAAGATGAACAATCAAGTGCTGTGCTAGTAAAAAACGCTGAAATGCTTAAGAGACTTTTATAATTTTTTTTTTCTTTCTCTATCTTTGTACTCTGTTTATGTATGAATGCTATTACTTTGTATTGTTTTTTTTTTCCATATGTTAATATATTATCAAAATGTCAATCGCTTTCGTTCAAAAGTTACTGAATTCTATCTTAATTTATTGAATACCGATTATGAGATAATTTGCTTAACTGAAACTAATTTAAATTTAAGTGTTTATAGTGAAGAATTGTTTGATGAGCGCTACAATGTATTTCGTAGGGATAGAAGTAACGAAACTAGTGTAAAGGCAGAGGGGGCGGAGTTTTATTGGCTACAAAAAAACTATTGAATGTATCTCGTAGATATGAATGGGACAGTTCAGCTGAGGATCTTTGGTTAACCGTGCATTCTCCATTGTCTAAGTCTTCGGTAAATATTTGCTTAAGTTATTTACCTCCTGATATGCCCCTCAACAAAGTTATTGCATTTTTTGAACACTGTCAAGATATTATTTTAAACAATGGTGAAGCTGGTTCTTTCTTGCTTGTTGGTGATTTCAATATACCTAATATAACTTGGCAACGAGACTCTAATTTGAATATCATGCAGCCTATAAATGCTTTTCACTATAGAGCTCCTATACTATTAGAGACTATGGGAATCTGTAATCTTAGCCAATTTAATCATTTGGTCAATGCAAATGAAAGAATTCTTGACTTGGTTTTGAGTGATTGTGGCAGTATCGATGTTGTGAGCGTTGAACCACTTAGTAAGATGGACAAACACCACCCATCTATAGCTATTAACATAGATTTTCGCCAAGGTGAAATGATTTCTCTTAGTAGATCAAACTCTAATAATTGTAGACCTAATTTTCGTAAATGCGATTATACTAAAATTAAAAATGAACTGAAATCTATAGACTGGATAGCACTGTTTTCGGATTTAGATGTGGACTTGGCTGTTGAATTATTTTATTCTAAGTTGAATGAAATAATTTACCTTTACACGCCTATGCAGAGTTCCAAAAATAATAAATACCCGTTTTGGTACAATTATGCTTTAATACGTTGTATTCGGGAAAAAAAACAAATATCATAAAAAATTTAAAATGTATGGGAACCCAAGAGATTATGACACCTTTAATCTACTTCGTCGACGTTGTAAACAGATGATTGATCAGTGCTATAAATCGTTTGTCAATTCAGTAGAATCAAATTCAAAATTATCTTTTCGTGTACATTATGATTATATCATCAGTCGTTGTAACCAGTTGCTTGGGTTCATATACAGAGCAACTAAAAATTTTAATAAACCCCACAGTCTACTATACTTATACAAAACACTTATAAGACCCATTGCTGAGTATGGTAATTTAATATGGTCCCCATATTATGCTATTCATGAAGAAAATATTGAAAGAATACAGAAAAGGTGCCTTGCAACTACTTGTAGACGATATGGCTTAGTCAGGAAACTTCAATCCTATGCTTCGCGAATGAAATACTTTAAATTAGATAATTTATTATCTAGAAGACAATCGGCTGAATTAATTTACTTGTATAAAATTGTTAATTCTATGGTTGACTGTCCCTCGCTACTTAATTTACTATACTTTAATACTAACAATAAATGTCGTAACTCCCGTGTTTTTGATGTGCCAAACACTAGGAATAATGTTTCATTTAACAATTCCATTTTAAGAATGTGCCGGTCTTATAATAATGTTCAGCGTGGTGGTGCTCATCAGGATGGTGAAAAGCTTGATATATTTGGTCAGAAGTTCAGTAATTTTCGTCACGACGTTTACGTATTATTTTCCTCTGTAATTAGTAGATAGTTTCTTTTGTTGTAACATATATATGAACGTAATATGTACACCGTGGTATGTGTGTTTCTGTATGTGTGTACGCGCGCGCGCGCGTGTTTGTGTGTGTGTGTGTGTGTGTCTGTGTTTGTATGTGTATGTATGTATATATATGTATATGTGTATGTGTATATGTGTATGTATATATGTATATGTGTGTATATATGTGTATATGTATGTATGTGTATGTGTATGTATGTATATGTATATGTATGTATATATATATATATATGATTATCCATTTTTTGTTGTTTAAATTATATTGTGTTTACAGACTTTAGCTGTGTGTTTATGTTTTGATCATGCCGTGTACGCAAAGTTTTGGAGGATTAGCTTGAACAAAACATAATTGTAGTTTATAAATTAATGTAACTATGTTAATTCTCTGTAATGTGTACCTATTGAAATAAAATAAAATAAAATAAAATATAGTAGCGGGCTTAAAATACCACCTTGACATACTCCTTTAGAGCTTAACCTAGGTCCTATTAATTTACTATTTACTTTAACATACACTTCTCTATTACTAAGAAAATTATAAATCCATTCGATAAGTTTCATTGGAAGAAATGAGGATAGAATCGAAGATAGAACTGTTAAATTTACATTGTTAAAAGCTCCTACGACATCTAAAAAAACAGATAGAACATATTCATCGTTATTCAAAGCAGTACTAAGGTCGACATAGAAGTTCGCTAAACTTTCGCGCGCTGAATATCCACGGCGAAAACCAAATTGATTCGATGGTAATATACTATTACTTTCAATAAAGAACTCTAAACGCTGTTTAATTAATTGTTCGAATAATTTGCCTGCACAGGACGTCAATGTTATAGGTCTATAGGAGTCGAAATTTGTAGGATCTTTACCGGGTTTAATTACTGGAATCAAACAATCCATTTTCCATTCTGGTGGGATAATACAGTCCTTCCATAAATCGTTAAAAATTTGTAAGAGTTTAGTAAGGTTTATTTTATTCAGCAATCGAAACATATTGTATGTTAAGCGATCAAGGCCACTAGCTGTATCTTTTCTAGATTTTACTGCACTGGATATTTCATCAATTGAGAATGGGTCAGTGAGAAATTTTGGGCATGAATTAACAGAATTAAACTGTTTGTCATCAAAAGGTGAGTGTACAAAATCAGGAGTATATTTGCGTAAAAAATCATTGACCCATGATATATCTTTAAAATGATTTTGACGATGTTTTGAATTTAGTTTTCTCATATTTTGCCAAACAGTGGAAATTGGTGTTAATCTATTAAATTTGGAACAAAATTCCTGCCACCCCTGTTGTCTTACTTGCTTAATTACTAACTTTTAACAGCTTGAACTCTTTTAAAATTTATGTAATTATCGAGAGTTGGATTTTGTTTAAACCTAAGGTAAGCCGCTTTACTATCATTGACAGCTGTCGCACACCTGTTATTCCACCAAGGTACTGCAATATGTTTGTGCCTCTTTGAAGTATTTGCACCGCTATTTGATAAGTTCCTACGTGGAACGGAACGTTCCACAGCTGTCAAAATAATTTTACAGAACCTATTGTAATTGTTTAAGGGTTCATTGACATCATACTCGAAATCCAAAAGTAATTGATTAACAGTTTCAGAATAAAGATCCCAATTAACGAGACGTAGGTTTATACGATTTAACAAAAGTTTATTAACTTCATCTATAGGAGCATGTTGTTCACCTGACGGAGTTGATGAAGAGTTCTTTGTGTTTATTTTAGTAAAAGTCGGCAGGTGATAACTTCCTAACGGATCATCATGAACCGACCACTCGCATTTTAATGATATGGATGGGGATACCATAGTTAAATCAAGGCCATTGGGTCTCCAAATATGAGAGCCAACAGTAGTAACTTGCTTATCATTTAATAGTACCAAATTACATTCATCTAAACAATCAAGAATGTCTTTACCTCTTGTATTAGTGGAGGTACAACCCCACATAGTATGATGTGCATTTAAATCTCCAGATATGATAGTGGGTTTAGGAAGAGACTCCAAAAAGAACTTAAATTTGGCTTTAGTAAAACTAGGTGTACTATTGGTAGGACAGTAAATACTGGCAACTGAATACCAAGAATTATTAACTTCAATACTAATAGCTATAGTTTGCAAAGAATTGTCGAAAAAAGAGTGAAGTTTTTTATATCTAATACTATTATGTATAATAATCGCTACTCCATTGTGGTTATTACCACAATCATTTCGTTCTATACAATAATCTTTAATTTTTAATTTGTAATGTGGTTTTAGCCAAGTTTCTGAGATGAGAGCAATGTGAATATGATGTTCATTTAAAAATTGTGTAAAAATAAGTCGATTGCTCAGTAGGCTCTGAGCGTTCCACTGTATGATAGTTAATTGGTCTCGATTGAATTTTGTGAAATAGGTGTATTACCAAAAGTATCATATAACACATTCAAAACACTTTTAGTGTTAATAGATGTGTTCTTTGTGTTATGTAGTGAAATAAGTTTGATTATGCTTTCTATTAAAAGTGATAAACTCTTGTTATCAGAATTTAGAATTGAAATTAGGTCTACATTTTTTTTAGGTTTGTTACCCAGTTTAGGAAATATTTCAGTGCTAAGTATATCTCCAAAAGAAGCAGGTCTGAATTTAGATCTATTTTCAGCAATTTTCTTTTGTTTAACAGGGCATTGCGGTGATACACTTGTGTGATTTCCATTGCAGTGTACACAAATAGCGTTTTCCATTCCAGTTGTACAAGTTTTATAATTATGCTCACCTTTGCAGATGCTGCAACGCTCAGAATTCTTACAGAATTTAGCTAAATGTCCATACCTCAAGCACCGGTAGCATTGTTTAACTGGTGGTATATATGGAGTGACATTGTGGCGCCAACCTCCAATATCCAGATATTCAGGTAATACAGATGCAGCAAAAGTAATTGTCACGGTTAGAGTTGGCTGTAACACATATCCATGAGTCAAGGTATTTTTTCTTAAAATTCTTTTAATAGCAATAATTTTCTTAGAACTCGATATCATAGTATATATTTTTTTATTAGATATATTTGTAGGTACATTTCTAATAACGCCTGTAACTTCTGTTGAAGAAGCAGGAATACTGGCCTTAAAATGGTAGTCATTTAAAAAAGTTTTATTATTTAAAAAAGCATTGGCTAAGTCTGGCTTTTGAAAGTATACTCCGATTTTGAATTTATTTATAGATCTAAGATAAGTTACCCCTTTATTAAAACGTTTTAAACAGGAGGAGAGTGAGAGCAAGTCTCTGGATCCAATGGTTTTCTGACTATCTGAGGATTCTACAAAGACAACAAATTCTGTCCCAGGGGATTCCTCGGGATATCTTCTAATATAATCTGTGACGTAGTAAGGTTTATACTTATCGGCCTTATCAATTTCAGATTCTGAGTCAGTAGAAGTATCTTCCGAATATATATCCTTGTCATTACAAGGTTCATGGTCTACATCACCTGAATCGTCATCTTTTTTTTTCCTTTTCCTACAACTGCGCTTCCCCATGAATGCTAATTATATTACTGTCACTGAATTTAGTGAAAATATAATATTTTATTCAATAATAAGAATTGATAGAGATAGTTTTTATAAATTAATAAAAAAAATTTAAAAAACCCGCTTGTTCTTATTCGAGTTTCCCGCCTTTTTCTATTAATAATTTAATTGTACTGTCACACTGAAAAAAAAATCAATTTGACAGCACAATTCCCACCTTAAAAAAGTTTGAATTTGGCACAAAAATCCCTATTAACAAAACAAATATGATGCGCCATTTATTGAATTCATTTGTTACGAAATATGTGATAAATGAAGAACCGCTCGACCGATTATGTGTAAACTTCACATAAACCATGTTCTAAATAGTCCGAACAAAGCCTAAACATTTGGTTTGGATAGGTGAGCCCGTTCTAGTGTTATAAAATTACAACGAAAAGTGGCATTAATTTTTATATATATATAGATTAATCTTCTTGTTCTGTTTATACCTTTATACATGTAGGTATACTAGGAGAAAAGTTAGCGTGAATATTTAAGTGAGAAAATTCATTGAACAACATACAGAAGAGAATTAATGAGAAGCGAAAAATTACAATGGGATTACCTCGCGGCGCCGGTGGGCGCTACAAATGAATCAGTTGGATTCCGTACATTTTTCGGTCCATTTCCAGTTTTACTTATGCAAATAAGTTTCGACAGCGAGCGGGGAACCTGCTGAAATGAAAGCGTTTGTTCTGCGGACAAGGAAAGTTGTGGGGACGGTTTGGTTTTTATTTATTTATAGATATATAAATCAAAATTTTTAGAGCACTTTTTTTAGTGATACTGAACTTTTTTTTTAGATAGGAGTGTTGAAGAGTGCAACCTTCTTTTTATTTTAATAGCCATATATTTTTATTTTATCTAATGTTCTTTTGTTTTTTTTTTCTTGCATAATTTTGTATTAAATATACGGAAGTAATTTATTATTATAAAGACAATTATTTATTTATTATTCACTATAAAAGTGGGAAATTGTTAACCTCCTCAATAAGGAGCATATAATGTATTTTTTTTTATAAATAATAATGGGGCAAACAGCTCACAATTATAAGCAAACAGGGCACAATTAAAAAAAATTGTGTAGGTTTTTCTACAATACAAGTAAATTTTTTAAAAAATGTATATTTTGATTGTATATTTTATATATTTTGAAATATTATATATTTTGATTTAAAAATTAAACTATTGATTCAATTTTATTAAAATTTCTACAGAACCATATCCAACTTAAAAAAAGAGGTTCTCAATACGATTATGTGAATAAACGAATAAATAATAAGTGAATAAATTTTTATTCACTTGAAGTAAAGTTTCCTATATATTTTTTTTTATTTGTAAAAAACTCTGTATTTTTTTTTGTAATTTATTGTTTTGGTATTGTGGTCAATAAGGAATAAATAAAATAACAAATTAATATAATGTAAAAATTATGACATATTTCTTGTTAAACAACATCAGTCTATGGTGCTGTTAGAGGGAATATAACATACAACATGCATGCAACTTACATTTCGCCAAACATTTTAGAATCTAATGTGACAGTTAACTCCATTAAAGTACCTAAACTGCAAAGTAAAACTTGTACAGATGCGGTCGAGTCAAGCGCGCCCTAATGACGCGGTCCCAGCCCCGAATATTGTGTTGTGAACGACCATTGTACTGTGACTGTTTATTTGTAACGCAAGGAATTAACGATTAAAGAGTTACCCGAGATTTTGACGTAAAAAACATATATATTCTTTATTGCAGTTGTAAGTTACATATAAAACACATAACATAGTACATTTTAAATGTAAAACTATATATTTTTACCAGAAGGAGACTTTATACAAGAGTCGTTTGCTTGAGCACCTCTGTCCCATTCGTGTTTCTACCGTGAAACAGTTGTATTTGCATGGCTATGTTTCAGTTTAAATGATGGGATTTGGCAAGGAATTTACAGGGTACAGAGGAATAAAACCTGAGTCCTCAGGATTGGCAACGCATTCCGAAACTAGTCGAAAAAGCTCGACTAGTTTCGGAATTATTCAAGACTTTTAATCATTAGCGGCTGTAATAAGAGCACGAGCGAATGCGTAATAATGTAAGTCAATCCAGTATTTCTTATAGTGAAACTATAAGAAGTATATATTAAATAATAAAAACACAGTAAAACTACTATGAAATAAAAATGCAAGAGTTTGGATGTTTGTTACTTATCACATTCAAATTGTTGGATAGATTTGTATTAAATTTTGTACGTAGATAATGTACACTAAACTTCTTATTCATAAAAACTAAAAACTTGTTTAAATCTATTTAGCTATTACACTATTTCGTCAATTTCTTTCAAATTGGAAATTTATTACAAAAGGAAGAGACAAAACAGTATAGCTAAAATAAGTTTATGACCAATTTAACGTTTTTATGAATAAGGGGAAGTACTCTATGATTATATTACTATTTGTACCTTCGATAATAGCCTATCATTGTCTTTAATTATGCCTGTATATTGGTGAACATTTTACAATCCAATATGGCGGTTGTCTCTATTAAAGCACCTGTGCCGCGAAGTGAAACTTGTACAGATGCGGTCGAGTCGAGCGCGCCCTAATGACGCGGTCCCAGCTCCGAATATTGTGTTATAATGGACCATTGTACCGTGACTGTTTGTTTGTTCGCTCATTAAACAATGCCCCGCAAGAAATTAATGATTTAAGGGGTTACCTGAGATTTTCTGAGGTATATTTAAATACAGATATGAATTTAAATAACGCAACTGTAATTCTGAGAGTCTTCCAGGAAATGTAGTTACTTAATTCGTCTGAATTATTCGTGAATGTTTCGATATTGCGTTGCTGGCGTCGCACGGGTGAACATTTCTAATATTTTCCTTCACTGCTCTGCTCCTATTGATTGTAGTGTGATGAAAAGTATATTATAACCTGCCCAGGAGTATAAAGAATAATTGTACCAAGTTTCGTTAAAATTCGTAGAGTAGTTTTTGTTTCTATAACGAACATACAGACAGACAGACAAAAATTTTACTGATTGCATTTTCATTTTTTGCATCAGTATCGATCACCAATCACCCGCTAATAGTTATTTTGGATATATATTTTATGTACAGAATTGACCTCTCTACAGATTTATTATAAGTATAGAAGAAGATGATAGGGATAGGGGGGGGGGGGGAAGATTACAAAATGTCCGGATGGTCGCCTATAGACATGAGCAGTATCATGGACATAACAGACTATACTGTTTCGGCCATGATACCCCCAAGCGTTGCCATTGCTTAAAGTACATAACCGTAATTGTATAGATTCAATATAGATAAGAGCAATAGAGTTACTGAATTTATATATAAAAGTATAAGAATAAACAAAAATAACATACACATTAATACCACTCTTCCTCTCACTTTAAACATACACATTCACACTGTTCACCTTCTCTCACACCATACACTGAACGTTACAGATTTAAAAAAAATATTAACTGTAATCTTCTACATAGTTAAACATTAATTTCTTTTCTTTTTCCTTCTTTTATTCATTCTGTTTATTATGTTTTTTTTTAATGGCTGATAATGAAATGGTAGCCCCACATGCGCTATCGGTATACACCGGCATGACACCAGTGAAGGATGATAGGCGAGGATGAAGTAGGTCAGTTAGCCCATCGTGATGAATTCAACAAGAATTGTTCACGATGGTTTCCAGGGGGAACCATGTGGAGGTCGACCTAATAAGGCATATTGCTAGCAATGGGGCTGTCAAACTCCATTGCTAACAATCCCTTTCCCCCTGTTTATTATGTTTGTAGCTTAATATTGTTAATTCTGCATGTAAAAATACAAAGTATTAGTTCTTGTGTGTTGGAAGGTACTGGCTTACAAGGCACAGGTTACCCTAATTTGTAAGCTAGGGCAAAAAATATGTAACAGTGCAAACCTGTATTTGTTAATAAAGATTTATTATTATTATTATTATTTATTTAAATAACTTTATTGATTAAAATAGAACACGGTTCAAAAGGCTGACTTAATGCTAGTAGCATTCTCTACCAAGTGGTTGCGAGATTTTTGGTGTTTAATTTTTTAATTTATTTTTTGTGACTGTGTTACTTACGCAAATACATCGTCAATTCTGAATAAATTTTCAGAATTACTTTTGCAATATGCAAATAAGGTTTATTCTTGTGTCAGTCCATTATTAATTTTGTCACGATTGACGATGCCGGTTTTCTTTGCGAAGCAATAAACTGCTCATTTTGAAACAAAATTCATTTATAAATATGCGATTTGCGTTGTAAACTTGAATCTTGGATTATATAGAGGAAGCTTCGAATGTTAAAAATAGGTTAAAATTTAGGCAACGACATGGCATTTTAGCTGATTAAAATTGACACATATTTTTTTAAACAAAGGAATAATCGCTCTTTTTCAGTAAATATTGCAAGTAATAGGATCTAAACGTTTCTTAGATCAGGCCGATTTTTAATTCGATTTGGGAACTATTTCTTTTGATTTCTTTTTATTTTTAAATTTATAAAGTATTATTTTAAAAATTAATATAGGTATCTTCATTAAAATAGCTATTTTAAGTATTTGACCTATTTTGATAATTAAAACATATGCTTTTTTGCCACCTCAGTGGCATAAAAATAATAAAAAAAATCAAATCCATTCCCTGATATAAATAAAAATAATTAATGAAAATAAATATCTTTATTCATTGTCTGTCCATTTCTATCGAATATATTCCTAAGAATTTTGTATCGTTTGTATATTTCAATTTAACCTTATGATATACATTTCGCCCACATTATTATTATTAATCAGCCATTAACTGTCCATTGCCGAACAGCTGTGTTTTCTCCCACATACTAAGTAATAATTGTACATTATGGCAACCCTATTTACGCACACATAGATAAAAAGTTGACCTATTTTTGGCTAACCGTTTGTATGGAGGTATTCTATATAATCGAAGATTCAAATATATTCACTGTAATGTATCTAGGAAACATTTTGTCGTCTATTGTTGTGCGAGTCCATGACTGAGGTTGTTCTTTATGTAATAAAAACAAATTAAACTCATGACTGTAGATTTTG